GCAGCAGGTCAGGCTGCAGCCTCGTTGCACACTATGGCGGTGCTTCAGGCTTATCAAGCTGATCTGCTGAAAGTGGATAAAGGCAGGGTCTATCCTCTGATGAGGTGGCTGAGTTGCGTCACACCACGGATCTTGCTCTCCGTGCCGCTAAACAGGCCGCCACTGCCATTGGCAGATCCATGGCGGCCATGGTGGTTATGGAGAGACATCTGTGGGTGAGTCTGGTGGCTATTGGGTCGAAATAGAAGGGCTTTCTTCTTGATGCGCCGGTTTCCCCTTCTGAGCTTTTCGCCACTTCCGTCGAGACGGTGATCGTGAAGTTTAAGGAGGCCAAGACACGCTCGGCTGCCTTTAAATCCTTCATTCCATGAAGGTCCAGGCTTCGGACTTTGCCTCCAGCCTATATCCATGAGCCTGAGTCATGCGCGGGAGCCATGGTTGGTGAGTACGATCCATTTTCATCTACCCTACTGCTAGTTCTTGCTAGCCTGTCTCTGCAGCGCTACTCGGACCTGTTCTGTTTTCTGACTTTTAGGTTTGACCCACCTGCTGAGTCAGGACCTCCTGCTGTTGACTGATTACAGTGATGGTTTCACTCATCGGTTCTGGATCCAGGCTGGTGATAGCCCTCATCTTCGGCTTGGACACGCAGCCTGGGCTTCTGAGGAAGCCTCCCAGCATCAGGTCCCCAGTATAACGCTGCAACCTCAGGACCTGCGGGTCCTTCTCGTGGGCTAGCAGTCTTCTGAGTACATGCTTCGTGACATGCTCCCTATCCTCTGGCCAGGGTGCGCTATTCATTTCTCACCCTGAGGGGTCTCCCGAGATTTGAGTCGTTCCTTAACCTTCATGCACATTCTCTGAGCTAGAATTCCTCTCGCTGAGGCGTTGAGGAGCTCAACGTTCCATAGACGGTCGGGCCCGTGAGTCCTCACTGTCACACTGCCCTTATGGTTGAACCAGTAATCACCCCTCTGTGGAGTGGACTGGAGTACACTGCGTTCCCTGAGGTAAGAGGGATTTGTGTTCCTGTGGAAACCCCTCTTTTGTGCTCTCTGCTCTGGGGAGCAGTAACCTTTATACGCATTAATGGTTATTGGGTCCCGCTATTTCTTCAGAATCTATTGGGTCTGGTTATACGGGACCCACGCTCTCTATCGAGCCTTTATGTTTGGACCCTGTTGTTCCCTTAGAAATGTGTGATCCCCTTCTAGCAGGATCCCATTTCTGATGTCCAATTTGTGATCTATCTGCCCCCAGACATGGCTGTGCTCCCCTCACTGCGGGGGGGTCCCTTTGAGCTCACCAGTCCTGGGCAGACTGGGTGAGTCCTCCTCTCGACTCTAGAGTTAGGTCCTCTACCCTGGGCTATTGGTCACTTCGGTCGAGCTGGGTTCCTCTCTCTCCTCGCTAGGGGTTGAACCCTCCGCTCTTGAGCTCCGTGGCAGTGACATCAGATAGTTGGGCCGCTTGCTGCTTCCCTGATAAGCTGCCTCTATTCGGGTCAAGCCAGGCAGTGGCTCCCCTCACCTCAGAGGGTTGTCTTTGAGCCTGCCGCTCCCGATTGAGTGTCTGAGGACTTCTGGGCATCTGTGAGCAGATGCTTCGGAATCTGTTCTGTGAGTGTGCCACAGTCACATAGGCTGGCTTAATACAGCCTCGGTTACCCCTTAAGCAACGGTGTTTCAAAATCCATGCTATGGTAA